TATATATATATATATATATATATATATATATATATATATATATATACATACATATATATATATATATATATATATATATATATATATATATATATTGACGGGTAAAAACGACAAATAATAAAAAATCAGTTATAAGTGAGAAAGTCAACATGTCACATCATCATCAACTAATAGAGTGTAAACAGATGAGTCATTTTGTTACGTTTCTTAGTTTAAGGGAGTATTTGTGAGAAGCCCTACAGTTCAGGAGTGCAAACTGTATTTTCTCCTAATGGAAATGCCAAATTACACTCTATGCAATAGTCGATTTGACTTCGCGGTCATCAGCGACAACTCCCATAGGGACGAGAATTTAGGTAAGAAGTATTGTGAATACAAGATCCGAGATCCAAGGACGAGGATGGTGGTGGTTGTGAGTTTGTCGGCGGCAAGAGGGTTGCGCGGGTGTTGTGGCGTAAGAGAGTGAGAGAAAGACTAAAGATGAAGATAGAGATCAGAACTGAGACAAAAAATCAGATTTGTAGAATACCAATGTTACGTAAAACGTGAGATAATTAAGAAAGATATACAAAATATTTAATTTTTAATTACATGTCTAATTATAAATTAAGAGTATAATAGTAAAATCTAAAAAATATTATTAGTTAAATATGTATTGGATTTTACTTAAAATCTAAATATTTTTTTGGGCCTAATGTAACATCACCTTCTAATGAAGGAGTTTGTCAAATTTTCCCCATTAATATAGGTTTAGGTGTGTATCTTTTTTGCCAACAAGCTTACCACTCATATATTAGCAACGAAGGCAAAATTCTCTACCGACCAATCATTCACTTAGTTAGTAGTATGACCGACATGTTCACTTGATTAGATCTTGTATTCAATCGGTTAAATGTTGGTAATATATATTATTTGTCTATATAACCTTTTACTTAACAAAATTAATATGTGAGTTAAAGAATAAAATAATCTTTTACTTATTTATTAATTCCCTATTAAATTAATCTCAAGGGAAGGGGAGTAATTAATTTAATGAGATAGTACCATTTAATATCAGACTTAGATTTTTGTTGCTGATTTGAGTAAATATGAATCTTGTCAACTTAACATGTTACCAACCCCTATTACTTATTCAATACTCCATCTGTTCCACAATAACTGTCTATTTTTAAAAATATTTTTGTTCCATATTATCTGTCACTATATATTTCCAATACTGCATTAAATGCATTTTTCCTGTTTTAACCTTATTAATAAAAATCTAATCATTATTTTTCTCTTATAAATCATTAAATAATAAAGGTTGTTTTAGATATGATTTTTTTAAAATCAAAATACATTTATTGAGTTTCTTAATCTCTGTGAAAAGTGAAAAGAGACACTTATTTAGGAACGGAGGGAGTAGTTACGTATAATAGTAATTGAACGACTCATTAACATATCGATAATAACTCCAAATACAATAAATGATTGTTTGATTCAAAATTTGAATCAATAATTAGAATGAAAATTATAACAATGTATGTGAACAGAAGGTTTTGATTACTACAAAATTGGAACTTGGCCAAAATTATCCATTACATTTGCAGACAAATCCATTTTTTATATAATTATTTTTAAAATTAATTTATTAATGAGAATTATATTTGTGAAAGATCAACTGAACAAAATTATTATATTTTACAAAATATTATATCTTTTGTTGAATTTATATTAATATAAAAGATAATTATGTATATTATAATTTATAAAATCAAGTTTCTATTGCAGATATTTCTAATTTGTTGAAAATATTAGTTTTCAATTATAAATTATAGAATATATTATTTTGTTTATAAATCATCAAATAGAATTCCAAAAATTAAAGATTCCATGTAACCATATTAGTCACACTATGGTATTTAATGAGATTATGAAGGTGAGTGATTAGTATGAGAAAATTGAGATATACATGTCTAAAAATGAGATAAATTGTTAAAATATGGGACGAAATTGAAAATATGTAAACATTTCTAAATATATTAATACAATAAATAATACATTATTCATCAAACATAAAATTACATATATACCATTTTTTACTCAATACATCACCATCTTCACTCCTGCCCCCTCCGGCGGCGAACCCTAACATTAAAACCTCCGGCCATATACGCCGTCAGCAGAGGAACAAAAGCCGGCGTCTCCGGTCGAACCGGCACGAGTTCGAACCGGCTTAGGACAGATGCCACCACATATTTCATTTGAATGAAGGCCATTTCTTTCCCAAGGCAGACACGTGGGCCCGCCTGAAAAACGGGATACTTATACGGGCTCACCTTTTTCACCGAACCGGCCCGATCGAGCCACCGGTCCGGTCTGAACTCGAGCCGGTCTGGACCCCAGAGCTCCTCCATCCTCCCCATACCGTACTGGAAGTAAGTGACCCGGTCTCCTCTGCTGACCGGAGTTCCGTCCGGCAGAACGTCGTCCTCCGCCGCGTGCTTGGAGTCCCACACCACCGGCGGGTAAAGCCTCATCGATTCGCACAGACACGCCTGTATGAAATTCATCTCCTTCAAATCGTCGAAACCCAGTTGTCGTTGAGTAGTATCTCCGATGGAGGCAATTTCTTCCACCGCCCGTTTCTCGATTCCACGGTGGCCGGAGAGAAGCCAGAGCAGCCACGTCACGGCGGAGGAGGTGGTGTCCCTCCCCGCCATCAGAAAACTTATCACCATGTCCCTCACCATCTCATCCTCCAGCCCCGCCCCCAAAAATCTGGACAGAAGATCACCACCACCGCCGCTTCCGCCACCGCCGCCACCGCCGTTCTTGATTCTCTCCGATATCATCTCGTCAACGCAGCCGCGAACGAGCTTCACCGCCTCCTTCAACTCCCTCTCCGATCCCAGATTCAACGCCCTCTTCAACCTCCACACAGCAGACACCGGGGCGGCGCCGCGCATGGCTGAAATCTCCGACGCGGCGTCAAACGCCGCCGCGAGCGGCGGCGGAGCCCGCGAAAAGTCCAAACAGCAAGGATCAATCCCGAGTGACACGTGGCATATAGTATCGAAAGCGAACCTCCTCAGCACCTCCTGCATGTCCAGCACGCCGCCGTTTTCGGCCGCGTTCTCGAGAATCGGAATCAACCTCTTCGAAACTTCGTCTTCAAGAACTTTGACCACGAACTCCCTCAAAGACTTGGCGCTGAACTCGTGGCTTGCTAACTTGCGCTGCACGCTCCACTGACCGCCGTCGACGTTGAAAATCCCGACGCCGAGAAAATCTCCGAGCAACTCTGTGAAGGGTTTCCCCTTGGGGAAGTTTGAGAAGCGGGTCTTGAGAATATACTCCACGTTATCTGGGTTTGCGGTGACGATGGTGCGTGGGGCCCACAGGCGGTGAACGACGATGGTCTGAGTTGCTGACTCGGACAGGAGGTCGGTGTACCAGCTCAGCAAACGGCGGCGGTTCTTGTAGAAGGAAATAAGGCAGGCGGTGTTGCTCAGAAGAGGGAGCTTTGGGTTGGGGATGATGGATGCAATGAATTGTTTGAGTTTGAAACGGTGTCGTTTGTTGGAAAGTAATAGGGATGATGATAGCAGCAGGGTGAAGATGATAATAAACCCTAAAGTGAGAGAAAGGATGAGAGAGAAAGCTGCCATGGTTGGGATAAAATGCAGAGATAGAGAGAGAGGTGTAGGAAGTTTGAGTGAAGATTGAAAGAAATGAACATATATATATATATATATATGTGTGTGTGTGTGTGTGGAGAGAGAGAGAGAGAGAGAGAGAGAGAGAGAGAGAGAGTGATGTTAACAGACAAACAAAGTCATGTGAGAAAGGAGGAGAAGTTTTAATGCCCTAGCTAGCCGAGATAAGCTCTTTAATTAGTCACGTGTTCAACGAGGGGAATAAAACAAAAAGCGGCCGGGGTAGAAAGGACATTACCTAATGGAAATTGTCATGTACTTTGGATTTTGTGGTACACAAAGCATGCGGATAGACAACTCATGGTTGACCACCGTTGTGGCGTTGTTAAATCACATATTCAAATCGAAAATCGATTTGTTAAAATTTCAAATACGTAAATGCTTAAGGGATGTTTGGTTATGTTTCTAATGCATAAAATCGATTCGTAATTCTATCAAAAATAACATAGATAATAGTTATATATAAATATTTTAAAGAGATTATGGTGGTGTTTACAAATATTTTTTTAAAGTGATTATGAGTTTTTTAATATTTAGAAAAAAATGATTTTGAACTATAAAAAAATCTCATAATCACTTTGGAAAAGCTGTTGCAAACACAGCCTATATAGTGTTATAACAAAAATATATATCTTTTAAAATTTAAGGTACACCCTCTGAAGTAGAGTCAAATTACGAAAAAAAATTAACCCTCATGTTTGGGTAATTACAATCACCCGCTCAAGTATAAATCTTCTTATACGTCTACCATTGCGGTGTCAAATTTAGTGGAATTTTCTAGATTATATGGAATATTCTCAAATTTTGTACCCGTTTTAAACCATTCGAGCTCCACATTTTGAAGCAAAATGATCATAAGATGGGTTTTTTGGCTTGTATATATTCGATTGTGGTGCACCAGAAACTGTTTTTTTGCACAAAACAAGTACAAATTAGAGAACATTCCACCGAAACTAGAAGATTCGACATCATAAGGATGAATGTGTAAGAAGATTCATAATTGAGGGGAGGTAGTTGTAATTATCCAAACACGAGGGATTTTTTTTCGTATGACCATACCTCAGGGGTGATTGTAATTTACCCTTAAATTTATGAAATCAAACTATAAAAGTTATATCTTGAAGATTATAAAGAATTGACTGAATTAAATATAAACATATAAATGACATAAAAAGCTCACTTATGCTATTAAAATTGGTGGCGTGTGAGAAATCCGAGTAAAAATACTAAAAATTTATGAAATCAAACTATAAAAGTTATATCTTGAAGATTATAAAGAATTGACTGATTAAATATAAACATATAAATGACATAAAAAGCTCACTTATGCTATTAAAATTGGTGGCGTGTGAGAAATCCGAGTAAAAATACTAGGGTTGTTCATAGGTCGGTTTTACCAACTATTATCGGCCGGACTATTGCGGCCGATAATTACCCATTAATCGACCGATTATGGTCGGACCGATAATATCAACCGACCCATGCATAGTCGGGCGGTTATAGTTTCTAAAATAATGAAAAGTCGGTTGACTGATATTACCCGACTTTTTATTTTTATATTATTTTTTTTTAGCCCTTTGACCCTAAACTGAGTTTTGACTAACAGATTTGCAACTCATCCTCTTCCCTATCCCACACGCATGATGTACCCCTATTTCCTTTCTTGTTCGAACTTTAAGTGATCTCACAACTTTATATATTAGATAGAAAAAGATTGAAAAATCAGTGTGGGATAGATAGTTCTTTTTATAAAAAAAACTCCAACACATGTCAAATGTGCTAGCACAAAATATTAAAATAATCAATGAAAACTATATTGGAATATAAGATTATAACCAAAGTAAATTCTCATAAAATGACAGAATACTGTTTGGATTAACTACATAATAAAATTATGTAAACAAAAGTAAAACTTTGAATCTATTATGCCAACAAATTAACTAATTTATTAATTGCAAGTTGAGTCTGATTAACCGATTCATAGACTAGGGCCGAGTCTAGAGCCGAATTCGAGTCGGCTCGGATCTAGTTCTTGGTCATGACTAGTTGTAACGAGCTGAGTTTGCAAGAAACGCAATCCTCGATCACGTCTAGTTGTAAGCGTAGGACCCTTGTGCAACTAATACTCAATTCCAAACAAAAAAATAATTTAGATTTGCAAATATTATGGATCTCTTAATGATAATGAGGTATTTACTAATAAATATTTATTTATTATGTCAATTAAATATAATATGTTAAAAACAATTAATACTTCCGGCCCTAATATAATTTGTAGGACAAGGAAAGGGCTTATTAGATCCTACATCTGATGAAATACACCACGTGATTTTAAACCGTAGATATAAATAACTACACTCTAAGCACACATGCGCATGAGTGTGCGTTATTATGTATAAATATGCGGTGTAAAATCACATTGTGTATTTCATCAAGTGCAGGTTCTACAAAACCGACAAGAAAATGGTCTGTTATTTTAGACACGTTTATTAAATGGAAAAATGGCCAAAGAAAAAGAGAGAAAAAAATCAGTGTAACACATTTTCCACGTGAGATGAAAAGGATACATCACTAATCATTTATTTAATAGTCAGAATGAAATAATATCTAACTGTGAAATTGTTTTCACTATTTCGGCGCCGTAACATCAAACTGCTTTTGTTTTTAAGCCAAATTTTGTTGATTTAATAAAAAAAAAGTCAGATTTAAAATAATAAATTGTGGAATATATAGTGGCTGTATGCAAATTGCAAACAATGTGGTGTGAACTTGTTATCTATTTATTTTGAGGTGTGTATTCATTGAACTGTCTTCTTTGCATCATTTTCATTCTACTATCTTCTTTTCCATATTCTGAATTTTATTTATGTCATATATATCTACGTGTATATATATTATATATATACAAATTATATCTATTTATTTTGAGGTGTGTATTCAATGAACTGTCTTCTTTGCATCATTTTCATTCTACTGTCTTCTTTTCCATATTCTGAATTTTATTTATGTCATATATATCTACGTGTATGTATATATTATATATATATACAAATTAAATAGGTCAAGCTCGTATGGGTATAGCTCAATTGGTTCTGGGGTACTGGTAAGTTGGTAGGAGGTCTTACGGTCGAATCCTGACAGCCGCAGTGTGGAAATTTCAACTCCAAATAAGGGTTGGTTCATTGTGGGCACCAGGTCCGAATCCGCTAGCCTAACAAGCCGTTGAGTCACCATAATTTACATTTCTCCATCAAATACATGTCGGGCCAAAGGATGGGGACCTAGGAGCAAGGAGTTTCACCTTATTGGTACAAGATTAAATAGGCCAAATCTGTTACAGATGATTTACGTCAAATTGACATTTAGTCGTACTTTAGTCCCTTGTGTCCCAATTGTATCATTTTCATCCATCATCTCTATATCTATCTCATTATTATTCATTTGTGTATTTTATTGTTAGAACTACTTTTGATAAATTATGGTTTTTTTTAAATAAATAATAAACTTTGTAATCTAGAAATGATATTTACGACCAAGAGACGTATAACTTATAAATATAAAAAATAAAATATAACTTACAAAAATTACTATTTTTACGAAATATTAACTTATATTTATATAAATAGAAGGATAAATTACGAGAACTTCCTAAGGTAAGGCTTAATTATAAAATTCCTCCATATTTGGGTAATCACAACTAGTCATGTTTGACCGTTTTAATTCACATAAAATGTGTATATTTCCGTTTTACCCTTCAATTGTTTGAAACAAAGCAAATGGTAGGTTCTAATTATGAAAATCTCCTCACATTTGAGTAATTATAAAAATTCCCCTGAGGTATGACGCCGTCTTACACAGACGCTCTGCGATGTTATTTTTGACGAAAAAATAGTATATTTACAATTACCCTATTATCCCTCGGAAGAGAAAAGTAAAAGAGAAATCCTAATTCTATTTCCTTGTTTTAGTTCCCCCTTCACTCGTTTTTTTAATAGTGAACTATTATTAAAAATATATATAAACGTAAACGAGTGAAGGGGGAAATACGTAAAAATATATATAAAAATAAGAAAAACATTTGTAGCATAAAATAAGAAATACGAGAATACATTTAAAATACGTAAAATTGATTTTATTGAATAAAAATATATATAAACGTAAACCAAAAAAAAAATACAAAGGAAAGAAAATATCTTTTAATGTTACAATATATTTAATTCTTTTTTTGTGTAATTTACATATATATATTTTTTATATTTTTAATAATTATAAAATGAGATATACATAATAGTTTTAAAATAAAAAATAACTACATTTTTCAATATATATTATACCCCCTAAGTATTTATATGCTGACAATTACCTTCTGTGAATCGTAGTGATCAGTCGTGACGCACATGCTCATTAGCAAAAATGACATTTTCAAAGAAATATTCTATGAATCAAAAAGTTTCCGTCAAAAGTAACGTCGGGGAACTGTGTACGGTGACAACATTCCTCGGGGGGTTTCCATAATTTTTTTTTATAGTTTTTAGTACTTCATGTTTCTATTGTCTCATTTTCATCATTCATCTCCAAAATCTATCTCACTACAGGCCTTCGGCGTATAAATTAATAATACTAGGGAGAAAAAAAACATATACCGTGGAATTAGTTCTTCGATATTAATAACATAAAATTGTAAAAAAGTATAAATAAATTTAAAATACAGAATATATGTAGATAATATATTATAATTATTAAATATATTTGCAAATGCAAGTCATATCCACAAAAACAAATCTAAGTCATTCTTCTTATATTATAAAGTGATATTTCCTAAAAATAGTAATTTTTTTATGTTATGTTTTCATAAGTTGTGTTTATCTTGATTGTTTAAATAATAAAATTTATTATTTATTACATTGTTTCATAATTTATCAAATCTTACGCTAACAACATCGTAACATTCCATTCAATCCTAAAGAGATTCCATTGAAGTTAACAAAATTATCCATCGATGGACTATAATGAAATGTATTAGAGAGACGAGGGATGAAAACGAAACAATTTGGACATGAAGGACTAAAGTGAAACTAAATATAAAGATGATGGACCATTAATGAGATTTGGCCTTTAAAATTTTATACAAACCTAGTAAAAATATTAAATACATGAACATGAATTTGCAGAAATTGTAATTGCAGAATAGCATTAAAACAGTTTTGCATTACTTAAAAAGGCAATTCCATCACTACATTACAACCACATTTCTGAAGTCAGCGGCGGAACCTGGATTTTGACCGACGATATTACACTACTCACAAAATAACAAGTCTATATAAAACTACTGACTTTTTAAGCAATGGTGGGGGGCCACGGCCCCCCATAGCTCTATGCTGATTCCACCATTGTTTAAAAAACTTCACATCTCTTAATCTAGCCTTTCAAGCGAGCAATCAGATCATCCTGTTGATAGGAAGAAAATTATGTATTTTAATATAATGATCGAAGTAAATATTAACTCACGTGCGACTCAATTAAATGGCAAAGTTATTCTTGAAAGAAGAAAATATAAAGGGAACTTGCCTTTCGCCCAGTTACCGAAAGCCCTTTCTCCCTAAGAAGAGCACGTAATCTCTCTACAGTCAAGCGTCGCAGATCTTTGAGTTCTATCAAAGACAAGTATTCCATAATAAAAGTTTAGTAGCAGAAAAGTACGTACAGTGCAACAAAGCAACAGATACGGTTTTGTTGTTCTTATTGCAGATAGACCATAACCATGAAACTACGAAACTGCCTCTGTTTTATGGCTGCAAAAAGAAAGTTATTCAGCTACACCTGAGATACATAACTAAAAATGATTCTTTGGTTTTTTTATACGAAAGGAACAAAATGGTATCGACTTCGTCCAGCGTCACTTAAACTTGTTCCATACCAGCTGACCAGATCAGGATTAAATTCACCAAAGAATTCACTTTTTTAAGCTCGAAATTCTTCATTGGCTCATGCTTAACTTTAAGAACAAATAGACGATTTTTCTTCAGTTCAAACCAGGCTTCAAAAGCCAAAAAAATCGCAAGAAATTTCTAAGTTCACAACACGCTTGATGAGTGAAATTACCTTCACATAAACAAGATAGCCACAGCCCTAAGAGTAGTGACAACTCCAAAAGAACTCGATTGAAGAAAGACAGGTAAAACGTGTTTAAAGTATAAAACAGTAGTGTATGAAGCATGCGGATCTCACCTTCAGAAGAACCAAGCTGCGTGCCGGACATTGCCTTCTTTCCAGCAGCTTTACCATCCAAAGGTTTCTCAGCAGCCCTGCGAATTGACAGTTATTCAGCACATTAAAAAAAAAAAAGGAAGCCGAAGGATTGCAATTAGTAGAATAAAACTGGGGATACAAATTCCATTCATTGCTAACCCATATAGTATATGCAGTTAGTACCTTTTCCTTGAACCTTGATTTGCAGCAACAGCTTTCCCAGCTTTTGAAGCAGAATCCGATTTTTGTTTCTCAATCAGAAGAGATCTAATCAATATATTTTTTTGGTCTGTCTTTATAATCTGCTCATCTGGTACAACACAAAATCAGGGAAAGATCTTAATTATTTACAGGAAAAAGAAACACAAACTGAATGAGATCAAATAAGATGACAAATAATATGTAAAAGCAAGCGTACAGTTAACAAGCTTTAAAGCTAAATGCACCACATTCGGCTACATATTATATAGGTATATATGATATATTCAGAATGACGGAGCAAATAGTAACAATGAGAACATAAGACTTGATTCCAATCAACAAAACTACCCGATAGTGACCAAATTCTCACCCCAAAGTAGGTAAAACATCTTTGATGCTTTGTTTGCCAATGATTTTGGTGAAGAAAAGGAATTCTTTCTTTTGCATTTCAAGGAAAAAACGACGGAAATGTACATCACGAGAGACGTCTTTTGTTTTATAATGCAAGTCTGTAACTTTATTCATAATACACAACAAGAGTTAAACATTATCTGAATTTGATATCTTGTAAAAGCAGAAATAGGACGGAATTTGATATTAACTGATTGTAACAGTGGGTAAGATACCGCAAGTATGCCTCTATGCTTATACCACTAAAGATGATTTTTTTATAAAGGCAGAAGTTACAGCCCAAAATGAAGAAAAATTAGCTAAAAGATATTTCGAGCACATGGAATGTAAGTATCAAAAATAAACAGGTTTATGTGGGTAATTAGCATTTTCAGTGTACGAGATAAGATTATTTTAGTTCCCAAATGCAGGCATGCTTAGGCCATCCTAGCTCAAATATATACATTTTTCTTTTCAAAATATAGCAGGATGATCGGTTAAGAAAAACGTAAAAGAACCTGGAGCTGATGTATCACGATTGGAAATGTAAACCCGCATGCTTCCCTGCATAAATTGTCAACATGTAAAACTTAAATGTCGATAAACTGATAAAGATTAAAAAAAGAAGAATAAATATCTTCGACATTCAACAAAAATCAAACACCCTTTCTTTTTTAAAAGTAGGCCAAACTTGATATTAAGACGATAGGGAAAACACAACCAAAAGTCTATTGCCCATTAACTTCACTGATTTGTAATTCACTCTTTAAGTTCTTTTAATGCCTAACATATGGATCGTATTTACTTTTGCCAACCTGTTTGGTTTATTACACGAGAACCCAAGTCAACCACCAAGAAAGATTGAAAGTGTACGAGCTCAAGAGCTCAACGCGAATGGAATTTCAATTCATGATCGATAAGTGATGGTGCTAGTGAAATCTTAGAAATGTCTGATTACGATTGGATTGACATTCACATAAGCTCAAGTTACTACAACCTCTGAGAAAAAAAGATAACAGCTTTAGTTTCAATGAAAGTTCCGTAACTTCATCGCTCTAACTTCCTAAGCTGCTGCATCAGATTCATTTAATTACAAAAGTCACCAAATATGTGTATATGTATACATACATATAGCCATCACTTCATTTTATTTCTCCTAGTGACTTCGGAATTCGGACTAACTAAGAAATTCCAACAAGGATACTAATTTAATTTCCATAAGAATATTAAAATCCATAAAATATAAGTAACTTCCATCTGGGTTTAAAAAAAAATAAAAAAATAAAAAAAAAAAAGTTGCTTTGCACGAACTAATGAAACAGAAACCCTAGAAAAAAAAAACTCTTAATAAAAGGCATAATTTCCACTAAAATCATATCTGAAAAATACTAGTTAAATTCACATGAAAAGAACAATTAAGATATGAAATTGAGCAACTTCCATTAATGTGTGTATATATATATACTGATAAGAAGAATAACAAGGTTTTAGGGGAAACGGAATATACCGGATTAGAGGAAATGACGGTGGAGGAGAAGTTACCACGAGAGGGAAGGTTAGCAAGGAATGGGGAAGCGCCGCCGTCTGAGCCAGCCGGAGCATTGCTCGGCGAGGGTGCGAGGCCACCGTCCATGTAATTGTATGTATTCAAAGACAATTACCAAATGGCGAGTTGGGGTAAAATTAAATGGCTATTTATACTTCGGTCACTTTTCCTCCTTTTGTACTTCATACTTATCCCAATTAAAATGGTGGATAAAATATTAAAATTTATTTTTCACTTAATCCATTAAAACATTGGATTTTTATTGATAAGTCTATAACCATTTTTATTATTTTAGATTTATTGTTAATTTTTTTTTTTTTTTTGAGTAATTCAAGTCGGGAAGTAGGGGAGGGGGGACTCGAACCCTAGACCTTTTACCCTATTGGTAAGGCTAAGTACCAACTCTCCTAATGAGGGTTGGTGATTTATTGTTAATATTAAACGTCATAAATAAGGGGCTATTCGAGAGAACTCCCTCTAACATTTTTTAATAAGGCTGGATCTAGCGCCTTTTGTATTATTAGTGATAGATCCAACTTTTTGTTATTCAAATTTACTCTCCCTTCTATTCACTCTCCATTACTTTTTTTCCATTTAATTATAAAATTCGTTTATTTGTTTAGGTTCATTTGGTATACACCCCTAATATGGAAAATATATAGGGATAGATCCGCTCCAAAAATTCTTTCTTTGAGATATCCCTAGAGAGGCAAAAGTTGGGCCCTTATGTGCAATTTTCGCCCAACTGCATTTAGCATTTTGAACCTGCATTTATCATTTTTATAGATGTTTTAATAAAAAATATAAATGTTTGTTTTATTATTATTTTTTTATATATACCCTCTTTTGTATTTTTTTATTTTTCTATTTTTTTAATTTTTTATTTTTTTTTAATTTTTAAAAAAAAAATTTCAAATTTTTGATAAATTTATTGTACTGAAATAGACGACACATGACTATAGTATATACTCTACATATGACTATAGTATACCACAGTCATATATGGTTATGGTCGACCGATTATGTAAACGGTTGATTATATAAAATAAAAAACACTTCATCTACACCAACAAATCACAATTTGAATATGGATATTATAAATCAATTAGTACCCAATATGGAAAAATACAATCATCAATATATCACTATACATTAGAAAAAACAAATAACATATGTGCAACCCAGTAACAGGTGGCGGAGTTTCAGCCCAGACCCCTCACAAACTATCCTCGTATAGCTCCCGCTGCTCACCTCCATTTGTTTTTCTCCAGAAGAAAAGATGTGGCCTTGCTTTCTAACAACCCCACGTGTAAATCAATTTAAAAGCACCTCATTTAATGTAAACTAAGAAAGAGGACATTGATATCACACCGTTCTTCATCTTCTTCGTCGAAATCGAAGAGCGGCGCTTGCGGCGGATCGTGGATTTGCGAAGGGTGGACCGGCGGCAACGGCGACGGCTCTATGTCTTTGGCTTCGGATCTTGTTACGGCGGATTTGAAACGCTTGGAGGTGGAAGGGCTTTGGGTGGAGAAGGTTAGGGTTTGGGTGGGTAAGAGAGATCAAATTAAATGAGAAAGATTGTGTTTCGTTGCTCTTATTTCCCAAAAACTGCCCATTAAAGGCAAAACAGTCATATCACTTGGTCTCAAGGGTCTCACAAATTAAGATCAAAATTTGAATTTTTACCTAGGGCGAAAAAATTCATTGAACCTCCTTGTATATATTTTCAAAACTAAGGGGTATCACTCATTTACCATATTTATTTAATGAAAATTTGTTTTTCTAAAAAAATTAAAAATTAAATAAAATATCTTCAGTTTGTTCTTTTTTTCCAGTTTTTTAATTTTCAAATTGACCACAATTTTTTTTGAAAACAACTATAACTTTTTTCTAAATCAACTATAATTTCTTGTTTTTGTTTTTGCTTATTTTTTTCTAGCATCAACTACAAAAATGTGAAATAACTACATTTTTTGTTCATCTTTTCCCTGTATCAACTATAAGAAAACTGTAAACAATTATAAAAAAGTAGTAGTTTTGAATAGTATGTTTACCAAATAAAGTCGACTACAAGTTAACGAAATCAACTATAAAAATTGTGGTTTACACTAGCAAGTTTAGCAGAGATAAAAACAATTATAAATTAACGAAATCAACTATAAATTTATCAAAATCTACTAAAAAAAATTGAAATCGATTATAAAAAAATTTACAATCAACTAAAACTGTAGAAACCAACTACAAAAAATCTAAAGCAACTATAAAGCTATCGAAAACAACTAAGGAAAAAACGAATAGCAGAACACTAAGAGGGTGTTTGGCTAAGCTTATTTTAAACAGCTGATAAGTTCTTACGTCTGATAAGATGTTTTTAGAGCTGATAAGCTGTTACATCTTATTTTAAGAATTAATTTTTAAAGTGTTTGGATAATGAGCTTATTTCCTATTTTTACTCATTATAAGATCTTAAATAAAAAGGTGGGGTAGAGTTACTTTTTTAAAAAGATCTTATTTGCTCTCCAACAGCTTATTCTTTAAAAAAATAAGATCTTTTTTTAAAAAATTACCAAACACTTTAGAAGAGCTTATAAGCTCTAAAACATCTTATAAGCTCCTTTTAACATCTTATAAGCTTAGCCAAACACCCTCTAAATCAACTACAAAAAATGAAAACAACTATGCAAGTGTAACTAGGTGGAAAAGACTAAACCAACTCAAACCAAACCAAACTCAAAACAGTAAATACCCAAATCAATCTTGACAAATGAGATTTCTTCAGCTATTTTTTTTTTAATCTCTACTAATATGAAATTATTCATAAATCAATTGATTTGTTGAGAATTCGTCGAAATTGGATGATGCAAATTATTAAGTATATATATATATATAGGGTAAATTACAAACACCCCCCTGAGGTATGGTCAAATTACAAAAATCCCCCTCTTGTTTGGATAATTACATCTACCCCCCTCAACTATGATTTTTTCTTACACCTCCACCCCTATGGTGCCAAATTCAACATAATCATCTAGATTACGTGAAATGTTCTCTAGTTTGTACTCATTTTGTGTAAAAATACAGTTTCCGATGTACCACAAACTGATATATACAAGTTAAAAATCGCATATTCTGATCATCTTGTTTTATAATGTAGAGTTTGAATGGGATAAAACTGGTACAAAAGTGATAATATTCCATATAATCTCGAAGATTCCACTAAATTTGAGGAGTTGAGGGGGTGGTTGTAATTATCCAAACAAGAGGGGTGTTTTTGTAATTTGACCATACCTCAGGGGGGTGTTTGTAATTTACCCTATATATATATATATGTCTATGGCCCCCTTTCTCCGCCCCCCTATTTACTTTCACTTTTTTTTTTTTGCCACTTTTTATTTGAAACGACGCCGTTCTGTTCGCCCAACCAATCAGCTGTCCCCCTTCTTTTCTTTTCCGTTTTCTTTCTGAATATGCACGATCGACGTGCTTCTTTATTTTCCCTTTTCTTTTACTGTTCTCGCGTCGTTCCAAACGGTGGCCTACAATTGTTGACTCTGTTCGTGGCCGCCGCCGCTTCGTTTGACAGCCACCGCCCCAGCCGCCGACGTCACTTCCCACCACATTTTCCCCCCAATTGCAGACCTCTCCCGTTTTCGATCATATCCGGAGTTGGATTACTCATGAATTGTCGGCTCATAATTTTTGGGTGCCCACCCCTTTTCTCCAACCCAATTTCTCAGCCATGGTACTAATTTTATTTTCTTCCTCCTCTTCTTTTTCTCCAGTTCTCCCAATTTTTATGCATTGGTATTGATTCGATTTTATTTTAGAAGCAACGCTTGATCAAGCAACCACAACTCTCGGTTACCAGGTATGCAATCAATCCTAATCCTACCCCTACTTCGTCTAATTTGGTATCTTGCACATCTCTCTATCTGTGGGCTACTCGGTGTTGATTGGGGTGATTTTTTCTCATGTTTCCTTAAATTTCTTGGGGCGATGGATTTATTTTATGTTTTATCTTTGAGGTTTCATATCTTGCTGGTGGTTAATTGTTGATGGAACTCCCCGTTGGAGTACATAGAAGCTCTTGAGGTGGTGGTCATTCTTTTATGCAACCCCTGCTATTTTAGCCTCATGATTGTGATTGCTAATTAACATTTTCTTAACAGGATTTAAGTATTATAAATTGTTATAACCAAAACAATGTTTTGCCATTGCAGTTTATCTAATGGAACCTCAGTGTACCTTTAATTTGTATTGTTTACCTTTTTTTTCTTTGTATGCAGATCTATCAAGTGCTTGCACATCCCTGTACAAAATATTAGCCGCATACACATGCAAGAAGGTATAATAATGGAAACTCATAATTTTTCATATTATCGGGTAGTGGCATGATCTAGAATTTTGTACTGTTCATTTGTCTGCATTTACGTGACATATTGTTGACCAGTAATACTTTTGCGTATAATGACTGAATTCTAACACTGATTATGTTATTACTTGCAGGTTTCTTAAACTTGAGGTTGTCCCGATCCACTTGTTGCATCACAAGGTTTGTCTCAAGCAATGGTTTACATTTTTTCATAAATGATGCTTTAAATTCTTGAAGGGGTAAAGAGCAGAATTTTTTTTTTTTTTTTTTCTTTTTGTATTTAGAATGCATAGTCTATTTCTCTTGACATTATGCATCATAGTTTTCTAAGTCATTTTCTTCAATTCCATTCTGGTAGGACAGGAATCTTAACACAATAGCAAAGTGTGAGAAAACTTTTAAGCAGTTAAGTCTGGTTATAATACGGTTAAAACTTTGTACATAGAAAACATGCTATATGTTTGCTTCGGCTATTCCTTTCAAGTCCTATATGGTGCACGGTTTCCATTCATATTTCAATTTTTATTAGCAATTGAAATTTTATGAATTGCTCCTTTTCTTTTTGTAGATTGGTAACATCAGTTGTTGATGTTGAACCTCCGGCTGATTGGGTGAAGATTAACTCACATGCACTAAGAAAATTGACCGTTTTAATTTGCAGAAGGATTGTTTCGAGGTTTATACCTTAGTCCCAGGACTGTTACGTGAAGAGGTATGTACTCCCTTGCCGTAAACTGTATCTGTGGTATTCCTTATATAGGCTGAATCGTTCTGAGAGGAATAAAAGAGAGAGTC